AATTTGAAGCAGGTGCCCTCTGGTAAATAAAATTAATAGGGATGGAACAGTTACTTTGGTCTTTGTTGCCAGTAGCCCAGTAGCAATGTTCTATGTTCAACCCTGACTCAGTTTAGCAGGGCTAGTCTTGGGTCATGAGTTTTCCATAAATATTTTTTGTCTAATATGACTTGTCATTCTAGTTTTTCAACCTTTTCTGAAATTTGATAAGCATGGAGTTTGTATGGCTGTAAAATAAAGAGATTAAAGTTGGTTGGGCAGATTGAAAATTGCCAATGCATAAGCTACATATGCAATAGGATATGAACCGTTCTTGGGTCGTCATTATCTGAAACTTATAACAAGTTTTAAAGCTTTTTTAAAAACCTTGAAAATCAAATGTTTTTCCATTACATTTGTCCTCCAAAACTGAAATACAAAAGCCTCAAACCGGTTTTCCAGTTGGAGATATCTGAGACTTGAAGTGATCTTATCCTTATGTCTCATTCTGTACATGGCTACTACTTATGTATTGTTTTTGTTTTCTTTTAATTGAATGTCCTTGTGAAATTCAAGTTTAATTGTGATGTTAATATAATGCTTCTTCAACAATAAAATCTGCAAACTAATTGCTTGAATTCACTCATGGACTAGTGGCGGTCACCTTGAAGATTTGGATGAATAATTCAGTATCTATATTTCTTGTCATTGTACACCAAAATACTCAAATGCAGGAATTGACCTTTTTTTTATACTGCTATCTTCGTCATGCATTTCTAATTAACAAAATAAAAAGAAACATGATTGTAAAATGCTTTTGTGGATCTTAATTGCTCCTTTCCTTGTTTTTTATGGACAAATTGCTTTTGTTGCCGAAAATCAAAGATGTTGGTTTCCTACATGAGCCTTTTGGATTTTTGCAAGTCAAAACCGATTTGATTTTGTCCCTTTTCTCTTGCTTGTAGGGAAGTTTAACTTGGGGAAATTATATGAAAAAAATGGCTTCAATTAGGAGGTCATATCATTGGGAAGATATGCTGAACTTTTTGCAGCTGAGCAGCGGCCTTTAAGGTGAATGCCTTGGTTGCATATTTCAACCAGATAGAAAGTGAAAAGATATCAAGATTACAGTATGATTTGATATTTGAGTGAAAAGACAATTATTGGCCCTTACCTATTAATTATTCTTTTTACTATTTCATGCTGGTCTTCTCTTCTTTGGTGGGGTTTGGATCACACAAAAACAGCTGCTTTGTTGTTTGGATTCTCTTTTTAATAGACTAAAAGAGAACTAACTTTAATATATACCAGACCGGATGAAGCGGAGCTTTTTGCAATATCTGCACAGAATGCTTATAAAAAATTTCGAGACAAGGCATCTTTTTCGAGATCAATGCCTGTATGTTTATCTTTTTTATCTCCAGTTTTAGATCTAATGCCAAGTTTCCTCCTTATATCCTTCTTTTAAAAGGCAAAAGGGGAAAAGAAAAAAAAAATCCTCTGAATTTGAATCATTCAACAGGTAGAAAAGATGGAAGAGGTTGCATAAGGCAGAGTATGGGCAGGTAAAGATGCAGCTTCTTGGGTTTGGTTGATGCTATTGGGGGACTTTCTCGGGCTATTGCCATTGCAAAACATAAGGCCAAATACCCCAAGACAGGCAGGTTAGTTCTTTAATGTTCATTTCAAGACACAATTTTTCCTAGGATGGGTATATTACTATTGTTTATCATATCATTTGCAAAAGGCACTACCCCAAAATCGTTGGTGAACCTGTAATTTGATGACACATGACATTTATAAAAGTTTCTCTTACAAATTTGGAATTTTGTTTTTTGGCAACTGTATATCCATTGACGTTTGATACAAAATTCTATATGATAGAACATCCTGCTAAATAATAGAATGACAAGTTTATGGTATTCTGCATCCATAATACATAATGACTCATATCATGTTGAAATTTATGCTCTCAATGCTTTGTGGACAACCTATGTTTATATATGGGATTAAGTGTCTTTTTTTTTTTTTGTCTCGCTCATGGCAATGACAGATTTTTATTCTTCATCCAAAATTAATTGTACATCATGTATCATTTTGGAAAATTATGCTTTCTCAAATGTTGAAGTATGTGATATAATGGCTTAGGTTACACTTATTGAGTTGTCGAGACGTTCTCCAACACTACCAGAGCTCTTAAGTGACATAGGGAACTCCATAGTTGGAGTAGACAGAATACTAAAAGACCTGCTGCAGGAATTCTACGTTTTCTGGTGGGGTTCAGGCCCGGATGGATGGAATCATGTTCCAGAGATTGGAGGGATTTTCTAATGCTACCCCACCCTTCAGTTTGATAAAAGATTACGTCAGTTCAGTTCGATCTTAAACAAAAGCCTAGTCTTTTTTTTTTCCATTTTTACCCTTTTTTGGTCCCTTTTTATATTAATTTCCTAGAGACTGTTTTGAGTCTATGATTTAGATGGATTCCTTTAGGCATCTGGTGATAGACATGATAATTTAGTTCTTCATAGGAGGATGTTGCTACTTTGTTAACCATTAATTTTTATATCCTTACAGATATGGAGAACTATGTTTCACATTCACGTTATAGAAAAGATCAATCATAATGTTACCATTTTATTTTGGAATTGTTTGTCATATTTTTATGAAAGGTAGGTGACAACTGCCTCAAATTTATGAATCGGTAATTCTATTCACATTTCATTTTTTAAAAAATTATTTTTAAATAAAAATTTTTAATTACTTTTTTTCTTTAACACTTCTTTCACTTTTAAACTTATAGATTGAAAGCTTATGGATGCAAATCTCGAAATTTTTAAAAGTTTTTGAATTAAATTAAATTTTTGAATTTACATATAAGATATTTTTTTAATTAATTTTTTTAAAACTTAAATGTAATTTTTAAAATAAATTTTCATATATGTATTTATAATAAGTTATATAATTTATGAAAAATACATATCCCATAAATTATATAGAAATGTATTTTTGAAGGTTTTAAAATTGAAATAAAAAGATAATTAAGTAATTTTATCTAAAAAATTAAAAAAAAATAAAGTATGAAGAGAAAATAAAAAAGCGATGATGCTTAGAACCCACCTTTATGGACTGACTGAGTTCGCTTTTATTAGTGATTAGAACCTACCCTAATGGACTGATTGAGTTCACTTTTATCCCATCTGAATATTGATGCTTGCAATGGTTGACCTGACCGAAGTTTTTAGTACTGCCATGCTTCATCCTGATGTCTCTTTGCTTGATGCATACGCCATTGACCAGCAAGTCAAGTTCGGAAGAACTTGACCGAACTTGATTACTGTTCAATACTGGAACGACTTGACTTGCTGCTGGATTGAAATGTTCGAGTATTTTAAGCAAAACATAATGACATGAAAATATTATGAAAAAAATAAAAACATAAAGTCACGTTAGAAGGATGTTACGATTTCCTATGGAATTCGGGGGTGAAACAAACTGTTCAAGTAAAATCTAGTGCATCATCATCAAGCTACAGTTCTTTGAAAATAACACAGTAACAGGTTTCCATGAAGAAGAAGAATGGTCAGGTTGGTAGCATGGGGATCCGAACAGACAAAGTGTGAATGCATTCTCGAATAAGCTCGCTTCGAAACTCGTTGGCCTGAGAAGACGAAAAGATAATGAAACCTTGGGAATGGATGACACAGCTGTGGTTGAGGGTCAGCAGCAGCCAAATTCAAACAAGTCGTGTGCCCAAGACAAGGCTGAAGTGGTTGGGTGGATTATCAATGCCAATGATAAGTAAATAATTGAAGAAAGATTATGCTCTGATGAGGAAATACATTCTCCTATTAAAGTCTAAATAGGCACTGATTGTAGGTCTACTCATGACCCAGATTCCACAGCTGGGTCACATACTAGTTTTGGGCTTGAATTAGGTAAAGACAATGATGCGGGCCAGGATAAACTAGTCAATAGCGAGGAGTGTTGGGCTGAAATCCAAAATGGGACTTGGATGGAAGAAGATGTGGAAAATGTTGACAAAGTTTCTGAGATAGAACTGGGTAGGATGGCTCTGGAAAACCGTGGAAAAACCCGAAGTGGGAAGAAAAGATATATTGTGACCGAGAATCCCACCACCTTAAAAGGAGTTTTAATAAAAAAAACTCCTTTATTTTTTATATTTTTTAATGAAGAAAGTTAAAACAAAGGGAAGAAAGTTAAAACAAAGAAAGAAGCTGATAATGCTACCTTAATGGCTTTAAAAATAGTTAAAATTAATCAAAATCAGTAAAATTTAACTTATGGATAGATGGATTTCGTCCTGATACAATAAACAACCAAAACATTTCCTTCTTCAATGAGCAATTTAGAATGCAAATACGAATCATATGGAATATTTGAATTTTGATCCAATTGTATTTATGTGATGATTATGTCAACACATTTAACACATAAAAATATTTGCATTTTATGTGAGTTTGATCAATCTAACATATACATCACACACAACAAATTTTATTTGTATGTATGTCAATTTACATAACGATTTTCATATCCGACACTTAAACTCAACATTCACATTTCATCGTGACTTTCACTGTTCCACATGCAAAACGTCCCTTATGGGTTAAGTAGGAAGAGCAAGAAAGAATTTATAAGATCAAATCAAAATAAAAAGTAAAAAAAAACACCCGTATATAAATTAATTATAAGATTCAATTAATAAATCATATATGTTAAAGTTCAAAAGATTTCTTAATAAATTTTGATATTTTTATTTAAATTTGTGATGTAGCTATAAGTTATGGTAAATTTTTTTATTGTTAATCAATTATTGATTAACTTTTTTTATAAATTTTTGTTTAATTAACGTTCAAATATGATTGATTTATTTAATAAGTTTTACTAATCTATCAATTATGGTTAGAGATGACAAAATGAAACTAACAAGAAAAAACTCAACCAAAAAAAAATTCAAACCTAACTAAACCTAAATTGACTTGATTCAAAAATCCAAAATATCCAAAATTATATATAACTCAAATTCAAAACAATCCTTACCATAACATTGATTTTACCAAAACATGTAATGACCACTAAAATTTAGAATTACCGACTTCTATTAGTTGTCAAATTTAATTTAAGTCAAATTCAAGAAATCCGACTAAAAAATATCCAAATCTAAAACAGATATTTTAGCAAGTGAAACGCCACTAAATGACCTTAGGCTCGGAGGTTCAAAAGTCAATGTTTTCCTGCACGATGGGGTTCATTCCGCTTGGACTTGGAGTTGGGCTCGTGGAGCAATATGTAATACCGGATGTAGTGGACGAAGCAGAAAAGTTTCCTTGGTCTTGATTTTTCAAGGGTCCTAGAGAAGGCACTACATGTGAGCCTAGAGTACAAGTATGCCTTCCGCGGTAAGTGATCTCAAATATTGTTGGGTCATCATCTGATCGCTGTACTTGCTTTGTAGCCAGACAACCTTGTATTTCCTGCACGATGGGGTTCATCCCGCTCGGACTTGGAGTTGGGCTCGTGGAGCAATATGTAATACCGGATGTAGTGGACGAAGCAGAAAAGTTTCCTTGGTCTTGATTTTTCAAGGGTCCTAGAGAAGGCACTACATGTGAGCCTAGAGTACAAGTATGCCTTCCGCGGTAAGCGATCTCAAATATTGTTGGGTCATCATCTGATCGCTGTACTTGCTTTGTAGCCAGACAACCTTGTACATGTCGGTGGCTGCACCTGTAATAGGCTCTGTAACAGAAAAAGGATGGTTATCGGTTAAGGATTTTGCATGTATAATAGTGGTCAGACATTTAACTGTTCAATGATAGAAGAAGAAAAGAATAGGTAAATCCAGCTAAATTTGTCATCATGCTCTAGTATATATGAAGTCAGGCAAAGCTCAATGGCACTAACATGCGGAAACATTTATAAATTGCAGGCAGGAAAGCTTTAATTAGTGACATGTTGACAACAGATAAGGTCAGGCTTTATGACTTAGGACTTTGTCAAAAGGCTCTGCACGCTTTAGAATTGAAATGGACCAAATATCAATTGCTAATTATTCTCGTGGAGCATTACTTAAGATATATACATAGATAGAGTATAGATTTGCATTATGCTTTTGTTCTTATTCATTACAAAAAAAAAAAAAAAAATCTCAAACCTTGGATTATTTGCGCAGAGAATTTCCTTTTGTCCATATTTCCTCCAACAGAAGCCATCGTCTGGAGGTCCCTCCAGGCGTGTACCAGGCATAACTCGGATTAGTTCCGTCCATCTTGACGGAGGTTTTCTGCAACATAACAATCTATTGCGTGAAATGACTTGGGAGTTGGGACAAGGCTTGATTAACGAGTTGAGTTGAGTTATATTATAAAGTGCTTGTGTTTTATCTATACCTTTTCGTGGAGTCATCTTTGAGCTCCTGTTCCTTGAAATGACAATCATAGACCTCACTCCAGGGAGTACTTCCAATACAAGGAGGTAGTAACTCTGACTTTCTGAATGCTGGTTCTGTGGGTTGTGGCTCTGCTGCAAAAGGGGTATTGCAGTTCTGCATTGAAAGTTCCTTCCTATACGAAGCTTGGATCTTTTGGACTAAGAATTCACAAGTTTCATGAGAACAAGTTTTATGAATACTTTAAAGTGTTTGGCAGGCATACATGCATGCATGGCATGTTGTTTTATAATTTAGTCAGCAATACTCCTAAAATGTGTAGCATAAACTTTCTTTAATGGCAGAATATGCATCAGCTGATTTTCTGCTCTTGACTAAATGACAGTACCTTTGGATTAAACTAGGAAATGCTAGTAAAACATCCTCCCAAAGACTCGAATTGAATAATTACCTGATTGTTGGGATTCATATCGAATCAAAGCTTCAGGAATACCTTAATATTATGCCAATTTCAAATGCATCAATAGAAGCACACTGGCTTTCCAAATAAACAGCAAAATAAGGATAAATAAATCTAGCAAGTGTCAATACATGGATTGGATTATCCAGGCCCTACACAAATTCAAGTGCATGCAATCCTGTTGGTTTTTTATTTAATATTAACCCTCAACTTGTAATATGACAAGGGAGATTCATATTTCAAGAAATGTTCATCATTCGGATATAGCTGTGTTTCTCTATCTCCATCTAGACTTAGTTGACAGGAAAAAAAAATTAGAAACCTTAAAGTTCAGAAGAATTAATTACCTGGTTGTACACCTATATCTTGTATTGATGCTTCAAATACATCTTCATATCCTGCCAATTTCAAATGCACCAGACATTACTAACAGTTTTTCTCAAACAACCGGTTTTTTAGGCATTCAGTATGTAATGCTTCCTGACATAATTTCTAGTGCAACCAAATGAGAGAAACAGAACAGTTGAGCACATTCCTCCACTACTACCCTCTTTATGATACAATTTATGATATAACTCATTTTATTCTTTTTTCAGATTTACATTTAATTTCTCCCTAAGCATTTATATACACACACTTGCGAGAAATGATGTATCAGGTTGCAAAAATTGTTGTAAACTCCAACATGATTAGAATATGCCTGTGAAAATTTCTCATTTAGGTATTAACCATCAACTTATAATTACAAAACAGAGAGGATAAAATCATTCCTATTAATGCAGGATTCGAGATTCAATGAACATCATTGCTCTCTAATTTACATCAAAATCGATCATATGATGATCAAGGAAGGATACTGCCTCCCCACCTTTTCTAGGGCCGATAGTCTTAGCTGAATCAGCAGTATCTTCCATGTAATTGGCCCTATGATCATTACAAAGTCGAGTCTGCAAATCATAGAATCCCTTGTTATAACAGCCATGGTTATGTACCCCTTCATAGGTGGTGATCAAAATGCCTGTATCTTTGTAGTCTCGCTCAACACTTTTCTTCACTGAACAACCCATTGTCGAGCATTTGTAGTAGCACCTATACAGAGTGGATAAAGGCACGGAAAAGGTAATAATTTAATCAACAAAACTGTTTAGCAACTTCAGAACTTCCTTAACAATATTAGGTGAAGCAATCACCTTGGATGGGGATTTCCCTTGAAATTTTTTGTTCCATATTTCCTCCATCTATAACCATCATCAAGTAACTCACTGTTGCTTCTGGTTCGAACTGCAACTCTATGCGCTCTCGTGGTTTTGCTCACAGAACCTATGACACCCTTGTTTTCATTCTCATTACAGTTGCTGCAAAATGTTAAACCACTCCATTAAAATTCTCCTCCATCAAACCTTACCCATAAGCTTAATTATATTTGACCAAACCGCTTGCATAATTGACTTCCATAAGTTCAATTTCATCCTTGGTGTGAGGACTGAAAGACATTTAAATGTGTTTTACATTGGAGGAACGGGGACTGCAAACAGAATAAAGTAACCCTTCTGGTTTAAGGAAGTGAAGGGCACTACTGTTGGATAAAAATGCTTAAATGGTAATAGGTATAAGTAACACTAGAGAACAGCAATGTCTAATTACATCAATAAAAATACTTAACTGACCTTCTTTTGGCCTTAGGTTCATCTTCATCAACGTCTACTTCACAAATTTCTGAAGCCTGATCAAAGTAATCATCTTCTAGCCTGTTGCTCTTCTCTGATGAAAAAAGGCTCAATGCTTGTTTTGGTGCCTGAAATTTGAACAAATTCGGTGTAACGATAATGGAGAATCAAGGCTGAAAAATAAGATTTGACTCAAATTAACAAAATCAAATTACATACACTTTAAATTATGTTTGTTGAAGGTCAAGATATCCTTGGGGGCATGACTATAAATTATAATCATGCTTGACACTGCAAGGATTGTTTATAAAATCAGAGAATTCTGCTATAAATTTTTTTTTTGGGAGTTGTAATTAGATGTATGTAATTAAAACAATGGATAAAAAATTGAATAAATCCAGTAATGCCTATTGCCATCATAGTAAACAAAACATCACTATTAACATCCGGGCTCTGATTCCTCTATTTTTGTTAAAATTAGTCCCTCTGCTTCAATTGCAAGTATCCTTTACTTTCATAAAATGTTGATTACAGTTAAATCCTTAACACTATTAAGCAAAGGCCTTAACTTATTGACTTGTTCAGTTTGACCCTGAAATGCCCTGCTATCTTGAAAAATGTTTTGCCCTACAACACACAAAAAATGGCAAAAAAAAAGAAAAAGAATTTAAGTTCCAGATTCACGAAGCAATTGAGTTTAAGTATCGGGTTCAAAAAAGATTTAATAGCACAAAATATATGTAAATTTTAAAAAATTGCAAAAAAATAAATAAATAAATAAAGGAAGGAAAAAGAGAAATTGGGAAGGGGAGGGGAATGCGGCACAAATCTATTGGGATATGGTTCACATGTGAGTAAAGAATCCCACATTATTAAAAAATCTGAACGAAATGTCCTACATATGCATGAAGGACCCAAGAACTTAATAACTTAAGCTTTTGAGCTCAAGTGGTGTCCAATATATATGTATGGGCTCTTTGGTGTGCTTCCATGTGCTCCAAGTGTGGTTTATCTCCCCAAAAGTGGTATCAGAGCCAAGGTTACTGCGGGTTCGAGTCCTAGTAGTGTTGTTGGGAGGGAGATTGTTGGCAAATCGAAGGTTGACCATATCCATCAACTTGATGTGCTTGAATGTCGGTATTAAAATATTCAACTTGGACGCAACAAGTTTATGATAATATGCAAAAGCAAAACACCCAAGTGGGCGATGTATTGAGTCAACCTAGAGTGTAAGCTTGAGAGAGTACTGAGACAACTTAGGCAGCCAAGTTGAGTGCTATGCCTTGGCTCGAAAGTGCACTAGAAATGTGAGGTTGCCTAGCCAAAAGGAGGTGTCGATAGGACTTACTCGCACAGGAGAGACGAAGTGAGACTTGATTAGAATTCACAAGTGAATAAGGGAGATTGTTGGGATATGGTTCACATATGAGTAAAGAATCCCACATCATTAGAAAATCCAAATAAAACGTCTTATTATACATGAAAAACCCAAAACCTAATAGCTTAAGCTCTTAGGCGTGTCCAACATGTATGTATGGGCTCTTTGATGTGCTATTATTGGCTCTAAGTGTGGTTTATCTCCCTAACAATGTGGCAAAACACTTATTTACAACTTGTTATAATCTTGTAATCTGTATATTTATATTTTTATCTCTAGAATTAAGTATTTGTATCCCTAGAATTAAGGACAAAAAGTTAGGATAGATAATTCTTCAATTATAAGATCAGTTTTTAAGAAGATTTAGTTTCCTAGTTTAACTCCTAGTTAATTGGATATAAACCTAAGGTTCTTGTATAATTCTTAACGAGCAGTTTTTCAATATACATTTAGTTTTACTCTTAGTTTTTCACAGAGTTTTATTTCTCAATTTTTTCACATGGTATCAGAACTTTAGGCTCTTTTTGGGAAGCAAAATTTTCAGTCTTAATTACTGACTTCTATTTTAGACCTTCATTGTCGAACCCTGTTAAGGCCTTCATTGTTGAACCTGTTAAGGCTTTCATAACCATTCTATTTTTTCCTTCTTTAACATTCATTGCTAAGAGACATTTCTAATTATATCTTAAGACTTATTTTAGTTCAAAGAAAGATATCACAACCACCCAATTTGAGGAAGTGTTAACTGAAAAAATCACTAGAGTACTACAGATGTCTCAAAAACAATGAAAATTGGATAGAGAAAAGATTGAAAAGCTGAGAAACCTATTAAAAACCCTTGAAAAGCCTATTGTGGTATGTTCCTTGGGTAAAGTCTTTAGTTCAGGTAAAGCTTTTGGTTCTCATAGATTAAATGTCTCGGTTAAGCCTATTATGAGTTCTTGGGTCATTGACTTAGGAGCCATAAACCATATGACACATTCCTCACAAAAGTTTAGTACATATACTCTGTGTCTTAGTAATAAGAAAATTGTTATTGCAAATAGTTCACTTACTACAGTGGTAGGATTAGGAGATGCTCAAATTAATCCATCATTTGTTCTTAAATATATTCTTCATATTCCTAGATGTTTACTAATCTGATATCTATACAAAAACTTACCAGAGATATAGATTGCAAAGTGACTTTTTATCCCTCTTATTGTAAATTTCAAGACTAGAGTTTGGAGAAAATGATTGGACTTGCTAAGAAGAAGGATGGCCTATACTATCTTGAGACATAAAAAACACAAGTAATATCAAGAATAGTTTACCTTTATCATTTCTTTTTGAAAAATCTTTCAATAAAGATAAAATCTAGCTCTATCATTTTTGTCTTGGACATCATTCTTTTGGAACGTTGATAAACATGTTTCCTTTTTTATTCAAAAGATTAAATGTTGAAGATTTTCATTGTGATATTTGTGAACTTGTAAAGCACAAACATGTGTCTTTTTCAATTAGCAACAAAAGAAAGTTTACTCCATTTTACTTAATTCATAGTGACATTTAGGGTCCCTTTACAATTCTTAATATTTTTTGTGTAAGATGGTTTGTTTCATTCATAGATGACTGTACCATGGTCTCTTGAGTTTTTTTACTTAAATCCAAATCAGATGTGAATAGTATATTTTTAAGCTTCCAAAACATGATCTAAAACCAATTTAGAGTGAGAATCAAGAGATTTAGTTTGATAATGCAAGAGACTATTTCAACCAGAGTTTATCCACCTATCTTTAAAATGAAGGGATTATCTATGAGTCATTTTGTGTTAATACTCCACATCAAAATGGAGTGGTAGAGAGGAAAAATAGCCATTTACTAGCCATAACTCGAGCCTTCCTTTTTCAAGCAAATGTACCCAAATCTTACTGAGGGAAAGTTATTCTCACTACCATACACATTATAAATAGGTTACCTTCGAGGGTTTTGGGATTAAAACTCTTATGGAACTACTCTCACAATTCTATCCCAACCTTAATACTACAAACAACCTCACACCTAGGATATTTGGTTATACATCATTTGTTCATGTTCACGGTCATAATAGGGGAAAATTGGATCCAATAGCAATTATGTGTATCTTTGTAAGGTATTCATCAACTCAGAAAGGATATAAGTGCTATCATCCTCCTGCCAAAAAATTTTATGTATCTGTAAATATCACTTTTGAAGAAAGTTAACCATTTTTTACTCAACATTATCTTCAGGATGAGACTTCATTCATGGAAGAGAAGGATAAAGACTTCTTTTTGCTTGATTTGTCCTCTTTTTCAACATTTTCACCCATTAATTATTCTAAGTCGAAACCTATTTTTGCTGAGTCCAAGTCAAACACTGAATTTAATTTCAAATATAGAAGATGTGACAAAGGATAATATTGTTCTTGATTCTATAAAAAAATTATAGGTGTACTCAAGAAGAAAAGTTCTAAATCTTGAACCAGTACCAGTCCAAGAACTTGATCCTAACTCTGGAAATAAGGTAATTACAGTTTTTGACTCTATTTTTCAAAATGAGCATGAATCTCCTAAAACTATAAGTAGTGATTATGATCTACTATTGCCATTAAGAAAAGAACCAGAGAATGTACTAAGTATCCACTATACCCAATCTCTAATTTTGTGTCATTTGAAAAGTTCTCACCATCCCACAAAAATTTTTTTGTGAGCCTAAACACTATTTCTATTCCAACTACATTATCCAAGGCATTATCCAATGAAAAATAGAGGCAAGCCATGAAAATTGCACTTGACGCTTTAGAAAAAAAATAAGACATGGGAACTGGTAGAATTGCCTAAAGAAAAAAATCCAATAGGTGGTAAACGGGTTTTCACTATAAATATACAAGGCAGATGGTACTGTTGAAAGGTATAAAGCCAGGTTAGTGGATTATCAGGAAACCTTTGCTCCAGTTGCCAAGATGAATGCAGTTATGATTTTGTTATCATTGGCTGCAAATTACAATTGATAGCTTCAACGATTTGATGTAAAGAATGCTTTTCTACATGGTGATTTGGAAGAAGAAATATATATAAAGGTTCCATTGGGATTTGGAGGTCATCTAGAAGCAAACAAAGTATGCAAGTTGAAAAAGGCTTTATATGGCCTTAAACAATCTCCTAAGGCTTGGTTCGAGAGATTTGCCAAAGTGATGCTAGCAATGGGATATAAATAAAGTCAAAGAGATCACACATTGTTTATCAAGCACTTTAATTCAGGGAGAGTCTCAGTTTTATTAGTGTATGTTGATGATATAATTGTAACTGAAAATGATGAAAAAGAAAGAATCTCTAAAACAGTGTTTGGCTAGAGAATTTGAGATAAAAGAGCTAGGAAGATTGAAGTACTTCCTAAGAATTGAAGTAGCTCGCTCACGGTATGGTATTTTCATCTCACAACAGAAATATGTGATGGATCTTCTGAAGAAAACTGAGAAGCTTGCATGTAAACCTACAAATACCCCTATAGATCCTAATCATAAAATTGGAGAAGCTAATGAAGATGTTGCTTTAGATAGAGAGATGTACCAAAGATTAGTTAGAAGACTCATTTATCTCTTACATACTAGACCTGATATAGCATATGCTATGAGTGTGGTAAGTCAATTTATGCATAGTCCTAAAGAATTGCACCTATAGGTTATCTACCATGTATTACACTATTTGAAGGCCAATCCTGGGAAATGTATCTTATTCAAAAGAAATTTGGGGCTAATTCTAGAAGCATATACAGATGCTAATTATGCAGGTTCAGTAATTGATAGAAGATCCACCTCAGGTTACTGCACTTTCTTAAGTGATAATCGTGTGACTTGGAAGAGTAAAAAATAGAATGCGATGGCAAGATCAAGTGCTGAAGCAGAGTTCAAAGCAATGGCTCAAGAAATTTATGAACTACTATGGTTAAAGATTATTCTAGAAGACTTGAAGATCAAGTGGGATGGACTAATAAGACTCTACTGTGATAACAAGTCTGCAATAAGCATTGCACACAATCTTATGGAACATTACAGAACAAACACTTTGAAGTAGACCGGCATTTCATAAAGGAGAAACTAGACAGTGGGTTGATTTGTACATCTTATGATCAACCAAGGGTCAACTTGCAGATGTGTTGATTAAAGGTGGCAGCAGTGCAACATTTTGAGAAATTATTTCCAAGCTGAAAATGGAAAACATCTATTCACCAGCTTGAGGGGGAGTGTAAGAAAAAACTTATTTACAGTTGATTGTAATCTTGTAATATGTATATTTATATTTATATCTCTAAAATTAAGTATTTATATCCCTAGAATTAAAGACAAAAATTTAAGATAAATAATCCCTCAATTATAGGATCAGTTTTTAGGAATATTTAGTTTCCTAGTTTAATCCCTAGTTAGTTGTATATAAACTTAAAATTCTTGTATAATTCTTAATAAGCAGTTTTCAATATATATTCAATTTTACTTTTAGTTTTTCACATAGTTTTATTTCTTAGTCTTATATCGGCCAAATTGGCCTCAATAATATGAAAGATCAAATCTAGACTTCGACCAAAATATAACAAAAATCTGGCCGTTTCGCTATGATACTTGTTTGGGTATGTATATCCAAGCTTTACACAGTTTTTCTGTTTAAAAGAAAAAGGTAATCTAGATTAAAAAAAAAAAAAGTCATTAAGACATAAGTATTCAAAACAATTACAATGAGACAAACAAAAACAATCAAAATAGTTCAATTGCTAAATTAAGTTGAATATTTTGAATAAGTTGTACACAAACAATATTGACGGTTTCATTTCTCAACCGGCCAAGCAAATTGTCAAGTTAAGGCTTCTAATTTCGTGGTTTAAAAAGACCCAGCGTTTCCGGTCAGAATAACGGACCGTCAAGATAGTAAAACTAAAAACCCAAATAAAACAAAAGATTGTAAGATAAAACAATGTATATTGTGTTGGTTGCTTTGTATATTGATAGATACTTACATCAAATGTCCTCAAAGTATTGGATGGAAGTATGCATGACGAAGGAGACTTTGTCGTCAAGTCTGTTCCCGTCCATGAATTGGATGGAAGTATGCATAAAGAAGGAGACTTTGTCTCGTCTGTCCCCCTTATTCTCTCCTCCTTATAATCTAACAGTAATGAACAGTAATTACCTAAAAGAGTTAAAGACACCAAAAATAAGAAGAGTCGTCTTATAAGGGTTGCAAAAGCAAAAATTACCTGAGCATGGCCTTTGATCTTGTGTTTGAAACTTCGAGCAACTTTTCATCATCTTACCAATGTTCAAAATGAGAATCGTTAAAATCTTCACTTCTCACAGTTGTTAGCAAACTTTTTTTTTAACGTTATGATTTGTTTTGGTTCTCTTCTCAATTAAGTTTTTTTTAGACGATAATAATTTACTTTGTTAAATCAGAAAACAACAAAATCAGGACTCATGTTACCCAGAAAATAATAAGGATTTAGTTCATTTCTAATTAAATTGATTCACACAATAAGCTAATGATTTAATAAAAAAAAAAACTAAGATTAAAAGGTTATACATTTTGTTGGCCTTCATGTGTATCGGTAGCTTCAGTAGATCCCGTCTCTGCCAAGTGGGTCATAACATCTTTCTAATTACTGATAGGGCAAAAGATACGCATCAGATAATCTGGCCGATTTCCCCAATCCGTTTCATTCCAATTCAAATCTTCCCACCACTGACATTCTCCTTTGATTATCTTCAAAGTTTTGCTTGACAATTCCATTTTTGTTATGCTTTTAAGCTTTGGGCAATTATAAAAGCCTATGCTTTCTAATTTTGGTGCTATTAATAGACCATTAGAAATGCTGACCAGTCCAGGAAGGTAGAGAAGCAGCAATCTTTTCAAACTAGGGAGAAATTTATTTGACATCATTGGCTTGACAGATGCATGGCTTACCAGGCTGGTGACTTGGGGGCAGTCCTCAACGATAATCTCCTCCAAGTTGACAAAATTTTCAAGCAAAGTACGAGCGAAAATATGTCTTAGCTGGGGGCATGTATGCAGCGCTAGGAATTTCAACCTAGACATACATCCACAACGATTTGGTCCTCTCCAAATACTCCATAAATTCTCCATGTAATAAATGCTCAAATATTCTAGAGATTCAAGCACATGTTCTGCAGAACCAGCTTCAGATTCAGATTGACCATCTTCATTTCTTTCGTCATGCATCTCTCCATCAATTAGGGTTTCCATCTTATTACACTCTGCCAACAAGCAAAATTTTAGCCTTTTCATATTCTCGATCCCAAATTCAGATAGATTCATAGCGGTTGCATGGTTGTCCAAGAAAAATGAAGAAGAATATTTGAGTACCGCTTCTATTTCGATTGGGATGTTTCCACCATTCACAAACTTCAAGCATTTATCCCAATTTCTGAATTCTGCTTCAACTTCACGAGGTACACGAGATATGATTCTCCTTTTATGATGGCCAACCGTAAAACTAAAGTGTGACAATGAAGAATATATCAATGATAAATTATCTAAAAGTTGGAATTTAGGCAGGTACAAGCTAAGAGTCTTCAATGTTTTTGAGTTGCATACTTCCTTCACAACGGCTTCCACAGAATCATCCCACCTCTTGTCTGCCGGATTCACATCAATGCTTAATTCAACAAGTTGCGACAGAATTGATATTGTCTCAGGGTGAATCACAAAGTCTGATTTCGACTTCTTTTTGCAACAGATATGATAAAATGATACTCTCAAATGACTTAACTTGACTAGCTTTCCAATCTCACTTGGCAGATGCATGATCTGAGTTTCATCAAGATCAAACTCCTCGAGATTTTTCAGTTCCCCAACCTGAGGTGATAGTTCCATGAAGAGTTCACAACCTCTTAGCAAGAGCTTTTTTAATGAAACCAACTTGGGAAGAGATTTTGGCAAAGATTTGATGCTAGTATGGGACAAATCTAATACTTGGAGAAGGGCCATGCGCCGAAAGAATAAGGGAGGAATAGCTGTCAGCTCATAATTCCCTTGCAAATACAATGCAATCAACGAAGGGCATTTTGGAGATTTTGGTAGCTCTGACACTTTATGTTTCTCATCCGTTAAATGGATCTCTTTGGCAGCCCATTCTTCTTTCTTTCGCAGCTTGGGCAATCCTGACCCACTTGCCTTAGGAACAGACTGCTGCATTTTGGCTGAAGTATTATGTATGCTCTCGGTCAATTCCAAAGGACCTTGCCTTACAAAATACTCTGTTCGCAAAGCATCAATTACAATTTGAAGAGTAGAATGTAAACTCCTTCATCATGTATATAGACCAAATAATCTTTGAGCAATTGAGAAATAAAAGTTAAAGTTAATTACCACTACTCCAATAAAAAAGACATATAATCTCCAAGTATATTTTTTTCTGTGATATTCATAGAAAAATATTTTTGCAGTTTAATATTTCAAACAAACAAATTGACCTAAGGGCAATAAAAAGGTATGGTATATTTTTCTTTCTTCTACTCCTATAACCATCATTTCTTATCGGAATTACAACAAGCAAAGTATAAACATATGCATTTGCACTATAAACCAGAAATTGGAATAAACTCCAAAGCTACTATGGAGTATGACTTGAGAAATCAAAGAACAGTTCTTGCATTTTTTTTTGTTCTATAGCCTAAACCATTTAAACACTCCTTTTACCAGCAAACGATCAAAAACCCACAATAAACAAATTTCAGGTTGAGAAGGCCCTAATTATTATTATTTACCCATTTAAATATGACTCGAACTATTAAATTAAATTAACAGTGTTATCCCAAACCTATGAAATTTAAAACATAAAGAGTTAATTTGGAATTCAAATCTTAACAACTATAATGTTTAAGTTCTATCAATTCGTAAATATATAGTAATGTATAAAGTAAATTACATCATCAGTCATTTAATTAAGCTTGTTAAGCTTTTTATTTTCTTATTATTCTAGATACATAATTTTTGGTGCATATACTACAGAGGCCCTATCTTGGCAACACCCGGGAAGTCTTCTTTTAAACAATATATCTAAGGTAGAGGGAGGATAAAATAACTTAACAATATTAAATTCACTACTGTGAGCATAATTTGCCAAAACAATCTTCATAAAAATTGTTATCTTTATCTTTATAAATGTAAACAAGAGAAAAATTTGAACCCATGAAAAATAAACATAGATAAGCATGAATAAACCTAATAGAGGAGATCATTGTCATGCAGTTGTTGTAGAATTAGATATATTATCTATTATCATCTTCTCTAACAGGGCACCTGTCATGTGAGCATTTTTTCCCTCTTAAAGAAATTATAAATGATTTTTATATTGATTTTCCTAATTTTCTTTCCTTTCATCCTTTCTTAATTTGCAGAGGTTAACGTTTTTTTTTTTTTTTCTTGTATGTTAGCATCAAATTAGTAGGGAAAAAGATGCAAATATGACAGTTTAAATGACTTTATGTTGTAAAGTTTAATGGAGAGTAACAATAGAGTGTCAAAAATTAGAAAGTTAAGAACTATATATCGATTTTTGTGATTTTTATTTTGATTAATTCAATTATGAAAAAACACGATTTAATTTATAAAATTTAATTTTTTATTAGCTCTTAAGAATTGATCGAGGTGACTTTCATTTGTCCCATGGTATGGTGTTATCATCCCACACGCCAAGTTGCCATATGGCAAAACTAAAAAGAAAGGAAGAGAGAATGTTCAAATCCAAAACCTGATTGTTTGTTCTGGAGTAAGTGCTTATCCAAAACGAGAGTTCAAAGAAATGGCTCTCCCCCTCTTTGATCCACCACTGTCCCTTTTCTTCTCTAGTTTCTTCTTGCTCAACGTCATTGCCCATCGTTGTGTCACCACCAAGTAACTCACTCTTACTTTTAACTGGATCTTCTCTGGGTTTATTCGTCAAACATTACGTGGACAATAAGAGGCATTTGATAGTTTGTATTAACGTAAATATTCTTGTCTTAGTTTTATGCTTCGAAGAACACAAATGTTTGAAAACTTTCCAAATTGCAGCTAAAAGCAATTGATCATCCTCCCTCAAAATGTTTAATTGGTCATATGACTGATGGTGAGCTGCAACCTCCAGCGGAAGGCAAGAAGGAAGCCTTGCCAGTGAAACAGCTGCCATTAGAGTTTAAGATGCAACAGAAGACAGTGGTTCTTGCAGCCCAAAAACCTCCTTCCAAGTAATTCTATCTCTCTTGCTTGATTTCTTTCTCCTTATTTTAAATTTTCTCTCGTTTTCTTCTCTTATTTACTTGATTTCTGTAGGCCCTTTTCTTCACATGTTCCCCTATTTGATTGGATTTTTTTCCTCCAAAATCTTTCCCTTCAAATTTTTTGTTTTAATTTGATAATGCCACCTGTCCATGTGCTTTGACATGTGAAATGACATGAACATTGAACATGTATTTTGGTAAAATAGATTAGACATAAGAAGCCATTCGATTAGTTCTTATAGTTTTTAATAATTGAATAAAAATTAAAATTTTATAAATATTGATGATTAAATTATAATTTTTTATAATTAAATGATGAAAATAAAATAAAAAAATTAAGTAATTAAATGTGTATATTTTCCAAACTTTTAATAAATTTAAATGATTATTTCTGTAAATTACCTTAATATATATGATTCATTTATTATTTTTTCTTTTTTTTTCTTGCGTGGAGCTACCCAAACATTATATATTTAAACAAGATGAGTAAAAAGGAATAAAAATTTTATATCTACTACTATTTACGCCTGCATTTCATTGCATTATAAACTTTTTATTTTTCTTGTTTCTTCAGAATGCGTCTTTGGTTATTTTTTTTTTTTAAATTGTTGAATTTAGATATAGGTTTTTGATCTACAAAAAATTTGTAGATCCGATTTTTTTTTTTACTTTTTAATTTTTTAATTATTTATATTTTAAGTTATTTTATTTTTATTTAAAAATATAATTATCATTTTTATAATAATGGACAAGTATCAAATTATAATCTCTTTGAGAATTTTTTAATATAATTTTTAATTTCTTTATTATTTACATGTTAAATTATTTTATTTTGATTAAAAGGTAAAATGATCATTTTTTATTATTAAAAAAAATTAATTAATTATTTTACAATGCTAGACAAGTGTATCTTTGGGTATTCTAAAATTTTTTATATTATTTTTTTTATTTTTTAATTATTTATATTGTAATTTTTTTTATTTTCATTAACAAATAAAATGATTATTTTAAGTTATTTTAACTATTCTATTTATTAAAACTATCCTTCTAGGGATAGTCTTTTGACACTTGTCTAAGCTATTAAATTATCATTTTACCTTTACGACATTATCATTTTATCCTTTCAATTTTACGCTTTAGTTAATATAATAAAATAAATTAAAATATCTATAACTCTATTAAAAAAATCTCCAAAGAGATTAAGAGTGGCACTTATCCAATATTTTAAATGATCATTTTATCTTTTTCAACATTATAAACAAATTATTTTACACTTTAATTTAAATACTATAATTAAAATGTTGATAATAAAAATTAAACATATATTAAAAGAATTTCCAAAAATATATATATTTTGAGGTAAAATGACAATTTTGTAATATTAGAAGTGGTAAAGTGATCATTTTATAATATTGAAAAGGTGTCAAAATATAATCCTTTGAAAATTCTTTTAATGTATTTTTAATTTTTTTTATTATTAACATTAATTTAATTGTATTATTTTGACTAAAGGGTAAAATAGTTTTTTTATTATTTAAAAAGGGTAAAATGATCATTGTACTATACTGGGAACTTTTTAATGAAGATTTATAAATCATAGATATTTTAATTTATTTTTTTATTTTAACTAAAGGGTAAAATAATAATGTTATAATATTAGAAGGGTAAAATAGTAATTTAGTAATTTGGACAAGTATCAAAAGAAACTATTTTTTAAGGGATAATTTTAATATATAGTATAGATATATATATATATATATATAAACGTATATTTACATTAATATTAAAAATCCTTAGCAATAAGAAAATTAAGTAACCAAAAACGAAAAATATATATATGTATAAAAAAATTATTTAATATATTGATAGTGAAATTTTTTAATTTTATAAGAGATATTAAAATGATAACAAATATTATATTGTTTAAAATTAATTTTTATTTTTTAAATATAAATTAAGGGATATGTATGGACTCATGAATAAATTTAATAATTTTAAATATGATACAATAATATGATATAAAGATAATATAAAAATATTTTTTAATATAATTTTAATTTTAATAAAAATTAAAATTATATATGCATTTAGCAAAATCAAAACATATATTTTTACATATCCAATTTTCATATTTTAACATATATTTAATACGAAACAATAAATTATCATATTTATATAAAATAATTATGGTGATTAAAATTTGAATATGTAATATACACACATGCAGGCTTTTTTTTTTTTTTTTTGGCTATCTTTTACTTTGTTTTTTGTTTGTGAATTTGAATTGTTTTATCGTCAACAACGATAAAAGATGAATCGATTATAAGGCCTAACACGTAAATCAAAGGAAAACTTATCAAACATTTAAATTCTCCCATCATAAACAAAGAGGTGAAAATTTTAAAGAAGAATTAGTGAACTCACCAGCAAGTAATTTGTATGACAAGAATAGAAGCCCATAAATCGATTAAATGCTCGCATAAAACGCGATTGGGTCCTCCTTGTTGTCGAAAGATAAGTAGAAGTTACAAGGGGAGTTGAAGTCGAGATTGCTAGCTGAATCTTTTTGAACCTCACAATCCAAATTCTATCCTCAAACTCTAAAACTGGGGTATATAAAATATACCCCAATAATTGAAGGATCCTTTTTGTTTAACAACAGTTTGACACTTAATAAGTTGAGGGTCCCTTAGGTTAGCTTACCTTAAAGGAACTTTTTTTTTTCTTAAAAAAAAAAAAAAGGAAAAAACCACCGGCTTCTTTTCTATTTCCTTTCAGTTGGATGGTTAGGAAATTTCTTCTCTAGTTCCACGAAAGGACCAAGGAGTCAACAAGCAGACAACTCCAAAGTCCAACCTGTATTTTGTGTTTTGTTCGTACAGAATTATAACCATCAAAATAATATACGTTCACTTATTCATTAATACATGCATATATATATACTTGTCATGAAAAATCTTGTTGGCCAACATTGGAAAAGTGAAATATGAGAAACTACCCAGCACTATCCATACACCATCCCACTATCTGTGCCACCCACCAACTCTGGTAGTCTGGACCAATTATAGTTCCTTCTCATCTCTCACAACAGTGACTTGATCGCGGAGCAGAACTTACAACAGTTCCACGACTATTCTCAGGTGATTTTACTGCACTCCTCTCTTTCTTTATGCATGTCTGTGACACCATCCTTCTTTCTTCTTTAGTTTTTTTTTTTTTTTTTTTTCATTGGGTCACTGTTAATCTGATTCAGTCTTAACTCAGTTTTTGAACAAGAACAAAAATTCAACAAGTTAGTGTTATCTTGTCTCTCTAGGCTTCTTGAATGGAAGATATTTGGTGTAGGAAAAGGCTTCAATTTTGTAACCCTTTCAAGGCAGAAGGAGAAAGAGAGTCTGGCAAGCAAGTATATAAAGTTTCCAATTGTTGAGTCCCTCCAGCCCCCAGGTAGATAGCTGCATCCTTAATCTATCTCAACTTATTTGTACAAAGATATATAATTAATTTTTAATAGTAATAACATGTTTAATTTGAATATTATCAAATTATGTAATTAGATTAATTATTTTAAAATTTTAGATTAACTAATTTTATGAAGACATAAAATGTTTGGCAGGCATACATGCTTGCATGCCATGTTTTAAATTTTAGTCAGCACTACTCCTAGAATGCGTATCATAAATTTTTTTTATTTTATAGTGCCAATCTTATCAACTTTTATATTATGTTTGATAGGAAATTAAAAAAAAAAAAAAAAAGAAAAGAAAAAAAAAGTGAAAAAAAGTTTTTTTTTTCTTCATTGTGATTGATATGAAAGATAGAAAATAGAATTAAAAAAAGATATTAAGGGTAAAGTAAATACAATCATTAATTTAAGTTTAATGAGTATTTTCCTCTTAAATTGAATTTAGAGGGAAAATGTACAAATTTACTTATTTCTTTCCTACCAAACAAAGAAAAAAGTGAAAAGAAAAATAATTTATTTTAGGCTCCAACCGATCTTATTAAACTGGTATCTTCAAAGTATACGTCTACTACTTGCCCTGTTTCTTCCTGCTCTTCCTTCCTACCTATTGCACTCAGTTTTCTTTTTTCTCTGTACTTCTATTACACACCGTTTCCTTGCAGTCAGCTTTCTTTCTTCCTGTAGTTCCTTCGCAGGCATTCCTGTCATGCTTTGAACCATCTCCCTGAAATTGTTGGCTCCGACCGTTACTGTGACAACACTTGCTTTTGAACATTTCCTGAAACTGTTGGAGAATTCTAGTTAGATCATGCAAAATCCAAGAACATCAAATTTTTAACACCATTTTTTGTAAATCTCAGATAAAACTTTATAATATTGCTTGAATTTGTTTTAACTAACCGTTTTTGGGCCTTTGGAACATCTTCGTCAATGTCTGCTTTAGGTCTATCAGAAGGCTGATCAAATTTTTTATCCATTAGTGATCTCATAAAAACAACTGATCCAGCTTCAGCGTCCATATGTCCACCTTCATATGTGACAAAGGACTGATCTGGGATTTTGATTGTAAGATGATTGGAAGCCCGGATTATGTGAGAAAAGGCAGATAGTGATGAAGTTCTAGTAGGCTGTGACTCAGGATGGTTGTGCCAAGCTTTATGAATGACCTGGGTTATCTGCCCCTCCAATGACCTCTCAACTGACTTGTTAGCTGGGCAACCAGGGTATGCACACCTGTAATAACTTCGTCTTCTGTTTCCTGTCAATCCTTTGATCCCATAACACCTCCAAGTATATGCATCAGCTGATTTTCTGCTCTTAACTAAATGAGAGTGCCTATGGGTTAAACTAGGAAATGCAAATAAAACATCCTCTCAAAGACTCGAACTGAACAATTACCTGATTGTTGGGATTCATCTCGTATCGAAGCTTCAAGAAAACCTGCATATTCTGCCAATTTCAAATGCATCAATAGGAGTAGACTCTCTTTCCAAATAAACAGTAGTGCTTTTGGTTATTTAATATTAACCCTCAACTTGTAATATGACATGGGAGATTCATACTTCAAGAAATGTTCTTCATTCGGTGATAGCTGTGTTTCCCTATCTGCATCTAGACTTAGTTGCCAGCAAAAAAAAAAAATTAGAAACCTTAAGGTTAGGAAGAATTAATTACCTGGATGCGCACCTTTATCTTGTATTGATGCTTCAAATACATCTCCGTATCCTGCCAATTTCAAATGCACCAGACATCACTAACAATTTTTGTCAAACATTTTTTTAGGCATTGAATATGTGTAATGTTTCTCATATAATTTCTAGTGCTAGCATATGAGAGAAACAGAAGAGTTGAGCACAATCCTCCACCACTATCCTCTTTTTGATACAATTTTTGGCATAATTCATTTTATTCTTTTTTCATATTAACATTTAATCTCTCCCTAAGCATTTATATACACACACTCGCATGAAATGATGTATCAGGTCCCAAAATTGTTGTAAACTTGAACATGATTTAGGATATCCCTGTGAAATTTTCTGCTTTAGGGATTAACCATCAACTTATAATGACAAAACAGAGAGGATAAAATCATTCCTATTAGTGTAGGATTCAAGGTTCAGTGAACATCATCACTCTCTAATTTGCATAATTGATCATATGATGATCAAGGAATGATACTGCCTCCCCACCTTTTGTAGGGCCGATAATCTTAGCTGAATCACCAGCATCTTCCATTTGATTGGCCCTATGATCATTACAGAGTCGACGAATGTGCAAATGATACAATCCCCTGTCATAACAGCAATGGTTATGTACCCCTTCATAGGTGGTGATCAAAAAGCTCTTATCTTGGTAGTCTCGCTCAACACTTTTCCTCACTGGACAACCACTTGTCAAACATTTGTAGTAGCACCTATACAGAGTGGATAAAGACACAGAAAAAGGTGTAATTAAATCAACAAAACTGTTTAGCAACTTTGGAAGTTCCTAAACAATATCAGGTGAAGTAATCACCTTGGATAGGGATTACCCTTGACTGTTTTCTGTCCATATTTCCTCCATCTATAACAATCATCAAGTACCGCACTGCTGCTTCTGGTTCTGGTTCTGGTTCGAAATGCAACTCTATGCCCTCTCATGGTTTTGCTCGCAGAACCTATGAGACCCTTGTTTTCGTTCTCAGTACAGTTGCTACAAAATGTTAAACCACTCCATTAAAATTCTCCTTCATAAAACCTTACCCATAAGCTTAATTCTATTTGACCAAACCACTTGCATAATTGACTTTCACAAGTTCAACCTCATCCTTCGTGTGAAGACTGAAAGACATTTAAAGGTGTTTTAAATTGGAGGAAAGGGGACTGCAAACAGAGAAAAGTAACCCTTCTGGTTTAAGGAAGTGAAGGGCACTACTGTTGGATAAAAATGCTTAAAAAGTGACAAGTATCACTAGAGAACAGCATTGTCTACTTCACAGAGTACATCAATAAAAATGCTTAACTGACCTTCTTTTGGCCTTAGGTTCATCTTCATCAACATCTACTTCACAAATTTCTGAAGCCAGATCAAAGTAACCGTCTTCTAGCCTCTTGTTCTTCTCTGATGAAAAAAGGCTCAATGCTTGTTTTGGTGCCTGAAATGAGAACAAATTCAGTGTAATGATAATGGAAAATCAAGGCTGACAAATAAGATTTGACTCAAATTAATAAAATCAAATTACATACACTTCGAATTATGGTTGTTGAAGGTTAAGATATCCTTGTGGGGATGACGATAAATTATAATCATGCTCGTTACTACAAGGTTTGTTTATAAAATCAGAGAATTCTGCTATAACCTTTTTTGGAGTTGTAATTAGATATGCCGACCTGTATGTAATTAAAACTATGGATAAAAAATTGTATCAATCCAGTAACGCTAATTGGCATCATAATAAACAAAACATCATGATTAACATCCCCGTTTTGATTCTGCTATATTTGTTAAATTTAGTCCATCTGCTTCAATTACAAGTATCCTTCACTTTCATAAAATGTTGATTACGGTTAAATCCTTAACACTATTAAGGAAAGGACTTAACTTGTTGATTTGGTCAATTTGACCCTGACATGCCATTCCATCTTGAAAAATATTTTGCCCCTCAACACAAAAAGTGGCACAAAAATGAATTTAAGTTCCAGATTCATGAAGCAATTGAGTCAAGTCTCAGGTTCAAAAAAATTTTAACAGCACAAAATATATGTAAAATTTAAAAAGTAGCAATAAAAACAAACAAACAAAGAGAGAGGAAGGGAAGCGAGAAATTGAGAAGGGGAAGGGGAAGGAGATGCGGTACAAATCTGCCTTATATTGGCCTCAATATGAGGATCAAACCTAGACTGAGACCAAAATGTAACAAAATTCTGGCCGCTTGGCTATATATGCTTGCATGGGTATGTATATCCAAGATTTACACAGTTTTTCTATTTAAAAGAAAAAGGTAATCTAGATAAAATAAAAAAAAAATCATTAAGACACAAGTATTCAAAAAAATTACAATGAGACAAACAAAAACAATCAAGATAGTTCAATTGCTAAATTAAGTTGCATATTTTTAATTTGTACACAATCAAAATTTAGGGTTTCACTTCTTAACCGGCCAAGCAAATTGTCAAGTTAAGGCTTCTAATTTTGTGGTTTAAGGAGATCCAGTATTTCCAGTCAGATTGACTGACCGTCATGATAGTAAAACTAAAAACCCAAACAAAACGAAAGATTGTAAGATAAAACTATGAATGTTGCGTTTGGTTGCTCTGTATATTGATATGTACTTACATCAGATGTCCTCAAAGGATTGGATGGAAGTATGCATGGCGAAGGAAAGTTTGTCGAGTCTGTCCCCGTCCATGAATCGGATGGAAGTATGCATGCCAAAGGAGACTTTGTCACGTCTGTACCAGTCAATGGATTGGATGGAAGTATGCAAGACGAAGGAGACTTTGTCACGTCTGTCCCCCTTATTCTCTCCTCCTTATAATCTAACAGTAATAAACCGTAATTGCCTAAAAGAGTTAAAGACACCCAAAATAAGAAGAGTCATCTCATAAGGGCTGCAAAGAAAAATTACCTGAGCACTGGCCTTTATGATCTTCTGTTGAAACTTTGAGCAACTTTTCATCATCTACCAATACTCAAAATGGGCAATGTTAAAACCTTCGCTGCACATCAGTTGTTAGCAAACTTTTTTTTTTATGTTATGACTTGGCTTTGGTCTCTTCCACTTAGTTTTTTTAGGATGATAAAATTTTACTCATGTTATCATGAAAAAATAAAAGTTCCGGACTCATGTTATCAGAAAAAAAAAAAAAAAAAGTTCAGACTCATGTTATCCAGAAAAAGAAAAGTTAAAGTACTGATTAAATTGATCTCACACATAAGCTAATAAATTGGATGATTAATAAAAAGAAAAAAAACTAAGATCAAAAGATATATTACCTTGTTGTTGAACTTCATTTTGTTTAGTAGCTTCAAGTAGATCCCTGTCTTCTGTCAATTGGGTCATAACATCTTTCTCATTACTGATAGGGGAAAAGATACGCATCAGATAATCTGGCCGATTTCCCCACTCTCTTTCATTCCATTTCAAATCTTCCCACCACTGACATTCTCCTTTGATTATCATCAAAGTTTTGCTTGACAATTCCATTTTTGATATGCTTTTAAGCTTCGGGCAATTATAAAAGCCTATGCTTTCTAATTTTGGTGCTATTAATAGACCATTAGAAATGCTGACCAGTCCAGGAAGGTAGAGAAGCAGCAATCTTTTCAAACTAGGGAGAAATTTATCTGACATCATTGGCTTGACAGATGGACGGCTTACCAGGCTGGTGACTTGGGGGCAGTCCTCAACAATAATCTCCTCCAATTTGACAAAATTTTCAAGCAAAGTAAGGGAGAAAATATTTCTCAGCTGGGGGCATGCATGCAGAGCTAGGAATTTCAAATTAGACATACATCCATAATGATTTGGTCCTCTCCAAATACTCCATAAATTCTCCATGTAATAAATGCTCAAACATTCTAGAGATTCAAGGACATGTTCTATTGAATCAGGGTCAGATTCAGATTGATCATCTTCATTTCTTTCATCATGCATCTCTCCATCAATTAGCGTTTCCATCTTATTACACTCTGTCAACAAGCAAAATTTTAGCCTCTTCATATTCTTGATCCCAAATTCAGATAGATTCATAGCAGTTTCATGGTGGTCCAAGAAAAATGACGAAGAATATTTAAGTATCCCTTTTATTTCAATTGGGATGTTTTCACCATTCACAAACTTCAAGCACTTATCCCAACTTCTGTATTCTGCTTCAACTTCATGAGGTACACGAGATATGATTCTCCTTTTATGATGGCCAACTGTAAATCTAAAGTGTGACAATGAAGGATATATCAATGATATATTATCTAAAAGTTGGAATTTTGGCAGGTGCAAGCTAAGAGTCTTCAATGTTTTTGAGTTGCATACTTCCTTCACAACGGCTTCCACAGAATCATCCCATCTCTTGTCTGCCGGATTCACATCAATGCTTAATTTAGCAAGTTGCGAGAGAATTGATATTGTCTCAGGGTGAATCAGAATGTTTGATTTCGACTTCTTTTTGCCACAGATATGATAAAATGATACTCTCAAATTTCTTAACTTGACTAGCTTTCCAATCTGACTTGGCAGATCCATGATCTCTGTTTCATCAAGATCAAGATCCTCGAGATTTTTGAGTTTACCAACCTGAGGTGACAGTTCCATGAAGAGTTCACAATTTCGTAACAAGAGTTTTTTTAGTGAAACCAACTTGGGAAGAGATTTTGGCAAAGATTTGATGCTAGTATGGGACAAATCTAATACTTGGAGAAGGGCCATGCGCTGAAAGAATAGGGGAGGAATAGCCGTCAGCTCATAATTCCCTTGCAAATACAACGCAATCAATGAAGAGCAGTTTGGAGATTTTGGTAGGTCAGACACTTTATGTTTATCATCCGTTAAATGGATCTCTTTGGCTGCCCATTTCTCTTCCTTTAGTAGCTCAGTCAATGCTGATCCACTTGCCTTAGGAACAGACTGCTGCATTTTGGCTGAAGTATGATGTGTGCTACTACAGAAGTTTCTCAGTCGATTCCAAAGGATCTTGCCTCACAACATACTCTGTAAATCATCAATTACAATTTGAAGAACAAAATATAATCTCCTTCATTATGTATATTGACCAAATAATCTCTGGAGAAATTAAAGATAAGTTAATTTCTACTACTCCTGCAAAAATATATGCAATCTTCATTTTTTTTTTTTTTGGTGATTTTCATAGAAAAATTTTCTCCAATTCAATATTTCAAACAAATAAATTGATTTAAGAACATCATTTCTTATTGGAATTACAACAAGCTAAGTATAAACATATGGATTTGCACTATAAACAAAAAATTAAGAAATTAAAGGTGTAAATTATCCAAATTTTAATAAATTTAAGGGATTATTTGTGTGATTACCCTACAAATATAGACATACACACCAAAAAAAAAGTATACATATCATTCATCTTTTTTTTCTTTTTTTATTTTCCTTATGTGGAATAAATGGAGCATGATATATTTTAACATGAAGAGTTAAAAATGAAATAAAAATTAAAAAAAAAAATACAATCATACATGCATCCCTTCTCTTTTTTCCATCTTTTAATTTTTTTTTGGTTATTGATTTGAATTAATCGATTAAGCCTAAGAAATAAATCAAAAGGACAACTTATCAAACATTGCATATAAAGTTATAAATTGATAAGCAAAGAGATGAAGAAATTGAAGAGAATTACTAAACTCACCTGCAAGTAACTCGTTTGACTAGAACACAAGCCCATGAGTCGCTCTCTCTCCCTCTGGTTACTGATTGGGTCCGGGTTACTGTCAAAGAGAAATGTAACTGTGTGTTTGCATTGAGGGAAGGAGAGGCGAGGGGAAGATAATATATTATATTTAATTTTATAAAAAAAATTTTATAATTAAAAAATATATTATAATAAATCAGTCCCTTGCCTTTCATATTTTATCTAAACAATAATTATTAATATAATTTTTTTATAAATTTAATTATTCAGAGATACGTGCATCATTGCTTTTCCTTTAAAAAAATTATTATTTTTTTTTATCAATATCTATTCATGTAGAAGTCTAACACGGATGTGGACAGCTGACTGTTTTTGAACGCAGTCTAGTCTTCTGGTGAATTTTAAAAACTTCCCCAATGACAATTTTAAACTACACAAATCCCCTTCTAATTTCAAAATGCACAATATCGCCCTTAATCAGAATTCCCGTCAGTCAGCACCAAGTTGTTTTTCCGTTTTAGACTAAAAGACCCTTGTTAAATTTTCTCTTTTCGAAGAAAAGAAATCGGATTCATTTGACTCTTCCGTTTCAAGATTCTTGAAAACCAAACAAACAAAACCAAGTCAACCTTCATTTTCTAAAAGAGGAAATCAAATGAATAAATGGATTTATGTCACCTTTTGGCAAAGTGGAGAAAGAAAATAAAAACCCGTCATAGAAATAGGAAGAAATGAACGAAGGAAAGAAAAAGAAAATTTTAAAATATGTTTTGAGGTATTTCATGAAAGCAAGAAAAGATGGATCTTTTTCTAAAAAAAGCAATTTGGTTGGACCACAAACGGCTGACTAACGGAACTGCTAGTCAAGGAGGGAAGAAGGGAGTTTGTGTGCGTGTGTTTTTTTTTTTTAAAGATGTATAAAATATAAAAATTAATTTATTATAAAATATATTTTTTAAAGTTCATAAATTTATTTTTATTAATTTTAAATTTTATTTTTGTATTTTTTTATATGTCATTAAATAAATTGATATATAATTAATTTGACGTTTAAAAATTGTAAATTGGAATAAATTTAGACATATAATATTTTCTTTAAGCATGTAAATTTAAAGTAAAATGTTTAAGGGTGGACCAAGAAATAATAAATAAACTGAGAGTATTGATCCATATGCCTCTCATCTTAACAATGTTGCTAGCAAAGCATCTCCCTTGTGGTTTCCACGCATGTACTCTCTAGTTGGCCAAATTGGAAAAATGAAATATCAGAACCGACACACCATTCCACTGTCCCTGCCAGCCACCAAGTCAACTCTCTTGGTATAATATCCAATCTAATCTATCACAATAGTGACTTGATCGGTGAGCAGAACTTACAACAGTTCAGACGACGATTTTCATGTGATTTTACTATACTCCTCTCTTTCTCTATCGATGCCTGTGAAACCAACCTTCTTTCTTCTTGAATGGAACCCTTGTTGACTTTATATTTTGCATTTTTTTCCAGGCAGAAGGAGAAGTAGAGTCCGTCAAGCAAGTATAATATAGCTTCCAATAGTTGAGTCCTTCCCAGCCACAGGTAGATAGCTGAATCCTCTGTTTTCTCTGGATCTGTTGCTTGCTGCAATAGTTGAGCCATAAGTTGATCTAGTTATATAGGTTTGGTCCCATAGGTTGATCTAATTATATTAGTAGCAAATTTTACAGGGAATATATTGAACATCGTAGTTTCACATCTATAATTTTTTTTTTTTTTTTGTAACTTGAAACTCTCTGAACCTTGATCACTGGACGCGATTGTTGGCTAATTTTATGTTTTTAAGGCCTAATTTAGTGGATAAAAATAAAATATTAAAGGGAAATAAAATTAAAAACAAAACTATAGGAGGGAAGTAAAAAGGTGTTGGAATCAATTTCCATTCATGAATTATATATATCTGGAGTAATGCATACATAGGCTGAAAACCTGGTTGCAGGTAGGGGGTTAAAGAAATTGCATATGTGGGAATGATACTTCACTTATCATTTATATTACTTGGTATGCGGTATTGTGCACTTGCAATTAGTAATAATTTTCACAACAATATACCAACATAAGTGAGTATGACCAAATAAAACATCTTATGAAAGTAACACTTGTCCGTATTGCATCTAACTTTACTACCATGTGAATTCCTTGTTGCTCTTGCAGGATCAAGTTAATTTCCTGATGGCTGACAACATAATGTCTTCCTATCTCGCGGGAGCCATCAGCCAAGTTGGGGCAGATTTAACTCATTATGCTAAAAGCAACGTCAGTTTATCACAGAGTATGGAGAACAACTACGAAATGTTGAGATATGAAGTAGCAAGGCTCCAGGCTCTTAAGGATGATTATGAAAGGGAAGTCAAGAAACATAAGATGAAGACAACTACTTGCAGTTATGATGTATGGCTACGCAGTGTTAACAAGATTCTTCACAATGCCAAAGAATTAGAAGTTCGAATTGAAGAAGATCATAGAAGGCTATCATCCAGATTCATTCATGTGAAGCGACGATCAAATTATAGTGAAAAACTGGTGAAAATGCGTGAAGAAATTCAAAAGCTTGTGGAAGGGGGGGAATTTACAGGAGGTTTTTTGGTTGATAAACCTTTAGAACCCGTCTTGAAGGTGAATGCGCCAGAGATCAAAGGATTTCCTAGCCTTCAGAGGCCACTGGAGCAAGTATTGGAGCTGTTGAGAAATGACAAATTGAAAGGAATTGGGATCTGGGGCCCGTTGGGTGTTGGGAAAACAACAATAATGCAGAACTTAAATAACCATGATGAAGTAGCTAAAATGTTTGATATAGTCATTTGGGCAAATTTCTCTAGTGAGAGGAGTGAGGAAAAATTGCGAGTGGATATTGCTCGGCGGCTTAAACTAAAAATGGAAGGCATTGTCCATCCTGAGGATGTTGCTCAAGCAATATTAGAAGAGTTGAATAACAAGAAGTATTTGCTGCTTTTGGATGAGGTGATGGACTCAATTGAGTTGGAAGATATTGGAATCCCTAACAACAAAAATGGCAGTAAAGTGGTTTTGACAACTGAATTTCGTCATGTTTGTTCTTCAATGGCTGACAGATTGATTGAGGTCCGCCCACTAGCACAAAACGAGGCATGGAAGATGTTTAGGCAGATGGTCATTGATGTCGTGGATCTCCCTGATATTGAACCAGTTGCTCAGCTGGTAGCTAAAGAGTGTGATCGACTCCCGCTTTTGATCAAGACAGTGGCAGGTGCTTTCAAGTTGAAAGATAGTGTGTCGGAATGGAGGAAAGGGTTAAAAGACCTACGGAAGTGGCCAGAAATTGAGATTCCAGGCTTAACTGAATTGCATTCATTCTTGAAGTTCTGTTATGATCAACTAAAGGATGATCAGAAAAGGAAATGCTTCCTGTATGGTGCATTGTATCCAGCAGAGAGTAAGATTTATACAGATTATTTACTGGAGTGTTGGACTGCTGAAGGACTCGTTGGCAATAGCAATACCGATGAGAAGAGGAGATTTCAAGATGCTCGTGATGAAGGGTATGACACATTAAAGTATCTAACTAATGTGTCATTACTTGAGAAGGGTGAAAGGATGATTTTTGTTCAAATGAACAATAGTATCCGACAGGTTGCTTTGTATATTTCTTCACAAGATCCTGATTGTAAATTCTTGACTGGGATGAATGAAAATTCACCTGATTGCTTGGAAGAAAATGATTGGAAACAAGCAAAGAGGGTCTCCATGATTGACAAAAAGTTAACAGACTTGCCAGAAAGCCCCGATTGCAGCATGCTTTTGTCACTATTACTACAGAGAAATTCGACTTTGACAGAAATCCCCCAATCTTTTTTTGAGAATATGAAGTCACTTTTGGTTTTGGACCTATATGGAACTGGGATTGAATCACTGCCATCATCTTTAGCAATGTTGACAGGTCTTAAGGGGCTTTACTTAAATAATTGCATCCATCTAACAGAGTTGTCCCCCCATGTTGGAGAACTTCACTGTCTCGAGGTGCTTGACATTAGAGGCTGCAGGATAAGCTTCATTCCATTTCATATCCATAAACTGGTTAACTTAAGGTGCTTGCGAGTTTCATACTATAAACCTGGCAACCCAAATGATTATCAAGATATGGACATTGACTGTGACGTGATTCCATTGCTCGCCAAACTGGAAGAATTGATGATTGATGTGGGTTCTTATGACCATTGGTGCAAGGAAGTTGTAGATGTAATGAGGCAGGTGGCTACCTTGAAAAATCTAACTACTCTCAGAATCTGCTTCCCTAAATCAGAGGTCCTCAAGGCTTTTATGCTGCAGAGCCCATCATGGAAGGACCGCCAACAACTGACTTCCTTTCGATTCTTCGTTGGTTCCAAAACAGGAAACGTCCTCAAATTCTTGAGTATTTTAAGTACAAAATCAATCGGTATTTGGGATATTTCCATGGCAATCACAGTGATTACTCAATCATTTGTGATCTGCTTCCTGAAACTGATGCATTGGAATTGGTTGAACACAAAGATATCACGAGTCTGGTGGATTTCGTGAATGTTGCTAGCTTTAACAGGATTCGTGGTTGTCTAATTGAAAGGTGCAACAAAATGACAACTATTGCAAACGGCAACAGGACAGAAAGTAGAGTCATCCTACCAAATCTGGAGCAATTGCATTTGGTGAATTTGCGGAGTCTGCAAACCATTTTTGAGGGCTTCCTCTCAACCAACAGTCTTTCTAAGTTGCACACAGTGGTGGTGACGAGTTGCCCAATGTTGAGAAAAATTTTCTCCCTCGGGGTGATTCAACATCTGTCAAAACTCCACAAACTAGCAGTTCAAAGTTGCGCTGAGATTGAAGAGCTAATTGAGAAAGCTGACACTGCTGGCCAAGTTTCACCTGCTTTTCCGAATCTAGAGACATTGATACTGATTGAGATGCCAAAACTAAGGACTATATCTGTAGATAAGTCATTGGCGTGGCCCTCGCTGAAAGAGGTTCAAGTTTACAAGTGCCCTGAATTGAAATCACTGCCTTTTGACAAAGACAATGCAGCAAATCTGAAATCAATTGAAGCAGAACAAGTATGGTGGGAAGCATTAAGTTGGCCACAAAATGGTGTCAAAGAACAGCTTCAATCAATCTGCAATCTAAGGTAAATGGCTTTTTATTATTATTATTATTATTATTATGTTTTTTCTGTTCTTAAGAAATAGATTGATGTATAATGTGTATGTACCATGCACCACATGATGTATTTTGTTATTTTTATCTGTTTAAACTTGTTGGGGCAGACAACTTACCATTGTGCAAGCAGCTGTCTCTTATCCAAACTTGATTTGAAGTATGCAATGTAGCGAAGACATGGTCAAACCATGTTTTTTTTTTTTACACGTATGCTGCAACCCGGATAAGGGACTGGGTTATTTGAACTGAAACCTATCGGATGACATTTTTTAAGGGCTACACTATGAACTAAGCTAACCTTGGATTCGGTCAAACCTAACTTTATCCCTTTCTAAAGGAAAAATTGCAGTTTATAAGCTCCATATTCCAGTGATGATAGGGTTTTTCTATTTATGGAATTACCTCTTCGAGTATCAGACTAGTGAACATACGTGGCATTGTTCCTTTATCAATTTACTGGATCATCTTTCGAGAGGATGATCACGTCATATCACAACTTAAAGACGATATATATTCTTTTAATTCTTTAAAATTTTACTGGAAGAACACATAAGAAATCGCATTCACAGTTGATTCAAAAGGAGATGGCATAAACAGCCGCCGTACAGCATTGGAGCCACAACAGAAAAAGGCTGCCACGGTGAAAAAGCCACCCAGTTGTTCCATCAATGAATCTCAACGGATGATAAGCAAACCAATAACTAGCTATTTCAATGGATGATCAACAAAAAAAATTCTACTATCAGGCTAAGTAATTCTGTGAATCCCACACTAGCGATGCAGCCAGTTCAGCCGCCAATTCAAGGTCGAGGAAGGCAGCTGCAGGTGGCAAAGGAGGTGGCAGTTGTACTGGTGTAAATCTTGCTAAAAAGGGGAATAATTTTGTCACATATTGGAAAAGAATGTATGCCTGGAAAACATTTGTTATAAATTTCCGACCCCTTCTTTTGTTTCTTCAAAATACTGGGCTGTTCTTTCACTTTTCAGGCTTGGACAGCTATCTAGTTATAGAAACTTTTGCTCTTTCTATGGCTTTTATCAAAAAGAATTAAACAAAATTCTCAATTTGTAGTTTTCTCAAATTATTTTGAAGAAACAAAAAAAAGAAGGAAAGAATCCATGGGTAATAATTACAGTGAATAGGAAGAACAACACATGTAGAGAATACAAATTCTTAATAATTAAAAGTCAGCCAACTAGTATAATCAATTCAACAAAGAACATAACAATATTTATGTGGTGTTTCACAAAATCTCAACCCACTATTTTCTTTTACCAAGTGCTTTCTTGACACCACCTACCACAAATTTGTTCTCACTGAGTTGCACATCAAATCCCCATGCAATCATGCATGCTTGACTAAATAAGAACGAACCATGCATCTTGTCAGCCAATTTCATACCAAAATCATCCAACATACCCCTGCCAACTTGAATAAATTAACCAGACCTATTTCCAATTCATGAACTTAGCTATCCAAAACATAACTTCTTCGGGCAAAACTCCTAAAATAATAGCTAAACTAAATAGAAACAATAACAGCATAAAATATTATACTTCACATACATGACATCCTAAATTCCTCATAATCATGTATTTTGGATAGGATAAAACAGAATTGAAGCAAAATAATATTGGTGCACAGGCAAGGCAACCACAGTCGATGCATAAATAGTGGACAATTATTCCAATCCAAAAACCCTCATGGTACAATTCAGTCATAGAACAGTCTTATACCACAAAAAGGATTAAAAGAACATATAAAATACTTATAAAATTGCGAAGAATAGCATGATCCTCACAAAGACATACTGACTCACTGCAGCAACAATATTTACATTCTTAACAACCTAGTGCTCAACAAAAAGCTTGGAAATCACATATGACCATAAATTACCATAACGGTGCAACACCAGCTCTTAGGGACCTCCTCCTTTCATAGTCGGCATCATCTGTAGGCAACTCATGACGACAAACTGGGCAGGTATTCCTTATCCCCAGCCAGGGTATAATGCAATCCCCATGGTACCGGTGAGTGCAAGGCAGCTGCTTCATCATTTCACCAAGGTTAATCTCATCCTTACAAACTGCACAAAGTGCATTATTATTCACCACATCCTCCTGAGTCACAACCAGAGACGGAAGATTCTCAACTACAGATTTTGAAGCCGGAGGCCTCCCAATAAATGCATTCTCACTCTCAGCAAACTGTCCAAACAACATTTCATATTCTGCAGTATAGATATAGTCATCACGATCAAAAAATAATGGCTCAGCATTCTCATCCATCTCGGGGTTTGTTTCCAAATTATTACCATTCAACAGAACTTCCCACCCTAAAGTTCCCAAACTGACAGCCCTCTCCAAATTAACTGCATCTTCAGGGGCAATAATAGGAGAAATGGAAAGCGAAACCGAATTCTCATCATCATCACCATCAACAAGCACGCTTAAAACCTCCCTTTCATCAACCCTCTCATCCACTTCCTCCCACTCGAAATCCTCATTCGCCTCCCTACGATCCTCCAACTGAAGCGAATCCCATCGAAATGGAAGACTAACACTCACATCACCGTCATCAACATCAACGTCATAACCATCATTAACATGATCATCAATTCCATAATTATCCCCTGAATTCAAATCAATCGTTAACAACCCATTAGCATTCCCATTCTCCTCATCGCCATCCGAATCGGATCTAAATCCAGCAGCCCTAATGTTATCCCCAAACTTTTCAAAACTACTAAAATTGGATGCAGCCTCACTAGCACTCAACTCAGAAACCCTCGTTTCCACGAAGAAGTCGTCATCGTCATCGTCATCGTCATCGTCATCGTCACCGCAAATATCAATCTCAACATCACTCTCACGAGTATCCATCGAATCAAACCCTAACGCCAACCCTAAATCTAGCTCATGATTTCCCTCAATAACACCAAAACCCGATTCAGTTAAAGCATCAGAAACCAAATCAACAGCATTGATTTCATCATCATTGTTAACACTATTACCATTGTGGTTACCGGAATTGGTATCATTATTGGGGGTATTATTGGAAACGACCTTAGATTGTTCGACGCGTTGGTGGAATAGATCGATGACGAAATTGACTTGGTTCTCGCGGCGATCGAACAGATCGGGGCCGTTGATAATGAGGGAATCGGTGAGTGACACGTCATCTTCATGATGAGGGAGATCGGGGTCGGAGGAAGAGAAGAGGTGGAACTCGTTAGACCAATACGGGATGGAATCCAGGGTTATGGTTTGATTGTGGTGGTGGGGAACGACGTCGTCTTCTGGGTCGTGAAGGTGAAGCAAAGAAACCGACGCCATTTTTTTTCTGTTTTGATGAAACGAAAGATCGAAGAAAAAAAAAAAGGGGTTTTGAAACTGAAAATGAACGTATGTTTCGGATTTAACTGGTGAGAGAGGTGACGTTAAAATGAGGGATCTGTTAGGTATGAAATTACATTTCTGTCCTTCCAATTTTGTGTATAGACCATTTTGTCGGTGCTTTTATTTTCTTGCGCAATATTTATTTTTGTCTGTATTTTTTTATAACCACAGAATTTAAACCATTCATTTTATTTGGTGAAACTTCTATTTTTTAAGGAGTGTGATTTAAGTTTACTATTTTAAAGTAATGAGTAAAATGTTATCAAAAAAATATTTTGAAATTTTTTTAGAAATTTACTATAGAAGGCTTTAAAGATATTTTTAAAAATTATTATATCATGTAATTTTTTAATACATTAAAACTTATGATATTAATTATCAATTATAGCATTAAATAAAAAATAATCTTATAAATAATAATAATAATAATAATAAAGGCTATCTATTAGTAAAATACTAAATTATAACAAATTTAATTTTTGACATCTTTAAATATTAAAAAAAGCAATAATAAAAAAAAGGAAATATTGAAAAATGCTGAGCTGGTGCATTGAAGTACACTTCTTAATGAGAGAAAGTCTTTTTGCGGTAGTGTGGATTTGTAGGAAGAGCCATTTCTTCCCTACATTATGAGTTTTTGGTAAGACTAAATAATTGGTTGATTCATTTAAAATTTTAAAAATTAATTTAATTAAAAATAAAATTGAATCAATTAAATAGTAATATAAAATTTTAAAAAATTGAACTAATTTAATTTTGTCAATTTTGATCAATTTTTTTGATATAATCGGTTTTAATTTTATGTAAATTACAAAAGATAAAAGATAAAAACATATTAAAATTATATTAATAAAAATATAAAATATTTTAATAATATTTAATGAAAATTTTCGATTGATTTAATTCATAAATTTTAAAACTAAAAACCGATCGCTTAAATCAATTTAATCGATTTAATATGTATAACAAAAAAATTAAAATTAATTTAACTTATAAACCAATTTTTTATTGGTTTTTTCAGTCAAAAACGATTTCTACATAACACTAGTTTTTCACTCATGAAAATTTTTAGGATGGTTTTTATTTAATCTTACGATTCACAATAATTTATAAATATTATTCACTTTAATTTTATTAAAATTTAAGATTTTATCTCGTAAAAAATATTTAAAAAATAATATAAATATTTATATTTCAATACCAATTATGTGAAATTTATGACTTCTCATTGAGATCTTAACAGCGGAACCTGTTAATGTCTGTTTCACCTTTGTCTTGCCTGATTTAGTTGTTTCTTGCAAAACCAACACAATTTCACTTGAATGTGAACTTCAAAAATGGATTAGGACAGTGAGATTTGTACACCTGTTACTTCTTCTACCTTCTTTGCTTCCTCCTTGTTTGAAGCCCTCGAAAATGGATTCGATGGACCCTGAGATTGTAATTGAGTCACCTCCCCAGCCTTCTTTACTTACTATTTGGTAACTTCAAAAATGGATTAAGTAGATTTGATAATTCTAAAGGCGAAAACAGATACGAAAAAAATGAAATGATCAATATTGTTTAAAATTTTAACATGAGGCAAGTTGAAAGTGCACAAATGCGATATCTCTCTCAAGTTTGTCACCTGCAATGCAAGAACCACCAGAAACAAGCTTAACTGGTTTGAATAAGTGATATAATGCAAGTGTAAATAAGGAAAATGATTGCATCCCATGACAAGGTTACTATGATTTTCAAGGACTGACCACTGCAGCAGGATGCAATGAACCGGAAGATGAATCTATCTTGTGCTGCCTCTGTGTCAAGAGCCTCATCATCAAGAGAAGTAGTGTCCACGCTTTCACCAGCCATTACCTTCAGGCAGGTTTAGCAGAGTAAGAACCGGTTTAGGATGCACCTGAAAAGGAGGTATTGTTGAATGAGGCCTATGGGCCTTACTTTCAGGACCCATCCCACAATCTTGGTTATTGTGGTGTAGGCCTACGGACCTTACTTTGCATTAGATTCAGCATCACGAAATCTATAACCCAACAACTAAGGGTCTGTTGGAGTTTTTTTTTTTTTTTTTTTTTAGAGAAAAAACATATTTGATAAGTACATTTTTGTTGGATATTGTTGGAAGTAAAAAAAAATATTTTTTCAATATTTTAGAAACATTTCCAAAGCAATTACCACACGTGTGAACAGTATTCGTGCATGAACAATATCGATTTTAATATCAAAAACCAGGAATCCATCAAAATTGCCAAAGCCTGGATTGCAGGACAGTATAGAAGGGAGATGTGCTTGTGTAATTGGATTATGATGCCCCATCTTCCTTGGTTTATATTCTGGACAAGGATGGGTTACCAGCCCCAACCAACAGATAGTACTAGAAATAGAACGTAGAGCATGGAGGGCTCACATAACCTCCTCATTTGTATGTTCTGGGCAGGAAAAGTGAGTATACTGTACGCGGCGATGAATAAAATCTTTCAAGTTTGGCCAAAAAAAAAGAAATCCCTAATCTTCATGTTGCTGCCTTTTCTTAGTAACTTGTCAGTCGAAGGAGAACATATCCAAGGCATGATAATCGAGTAATCAACACCTACATCACCTAGCCTCTTTTAACAAAATGAATTAACATCTACTAATTTTGGCAGCCTAGCAATTTGTCATCCCATATTTAGGAGGAAAAGTTTTATAGGATGAAGAAAAGCTACTACTTGAGTAATCTACACAAACACAATGATTTTTACTTATATATGATAATTCGTGTATACGAATTGTGTTTATTTTATATCAAATACATATAAATTACAAAAAAATTTCATGTGATAATTTACATAATCATATCAAATATAAAACACTTTTTTTTGTCAAATTCATATATTATTTTTATCAAAATTTTAAATCGTATCACATTCATATTTTTTTTTTTTATTGTTTGTTTGTCGTGTGTAAAATTATCGAGTTTATATATTTTTACTAAAAATGCAAGATAAAAAGAAAAAAAAATTGGCATAGACTGCTGAGCAAGATTACTACTACAATCTCGTGCTATTTTGCCAAGGAGAACAAAGTAAGCAGTTACCCTTGATTCAAACTATGATTAACCATAACAAATTAAGGCTGATAATGTAATTGCAAGACAGAAAGTGATAAACTGTCCAATTCTTGATCAAATAAAAATATAGCTAAGTCCCATGTGACCATGTTCTGTAAAGGCAAACCACTTTCCTTTTCTGTCAAACACTTTGAATTCCAAGCTCGCAAACCAAAACTTATTCTCAATGCAACTGTAAACTACACAAATTTCACTTTCACATGTGTAGAAACCCTTAACCCGAAAAAGCTAGTCTCACGTACAAATTAGGGTACATATATACATACACACCCCTCATCTTAAACGAAAAATAATAAAAATATATCAACAAGTGGTTAATTTAATCGGTTAAGGTTATTTTTTTCGATGAAGAGATCTTGAGTTCGAATTTTACCGATGATCATTTGTTGGCACATCTTGTCCTAATTTGAAAGATTGAACAACTTATCTACCGGTACATCTTACTCTAATCTGGAGGACTAAATAGTTTATTTATCCCTAGATTTTTCTTACCAAAAAATAATAATAATAATAATAATAATAATAATAATATAATGATAAATGTGTGTATGTATACATATCCTTTATTCAAAGAGTGAATTCGAATCTCTTAATAAAAATAAAAATAAAAACATTCACGACGGTTGCCAATTCTGCCATAGCATTGCCTTTCTTAGGCTTTTATTTTTAAACAATATGTTTTTTTTTTTTTGTTTCCACCGAGTATATACGCATTTCATTAGGCATTCATTTTTTCATATAATTATGAAAGATTGCCGTCATTATCATTTAGTTCGGGGCGCATTTCATCTAAGTTTTTTTATTATAATCTTATAACTATTCAATCACAATAAAAAAAAATTATATAAGATTTCATTACTTATAAATATAAGTTTCATATAAAATTTTAATAAACTCAGCACAATTTTAAATTGTTGCAACAAATTTGACTCTATGATAGCCTTGAAAAGATATTTTAACCATTAAAATTTAAAATTTCATTTAAAAACTACATATTCAAATTTAAAATTTTAAATGAAAATGAAATGTTATATTGAATAATTGAATTAATTATATATCTGTTTTATATAACTCAATCTCAACACTGAATAAAGTTTTATTTAGATGATTGGTGAGAATCCCTTCCCATTAAAATCTACTCAAAATCACATAATAACATGATGAAAATTATTTCTCATCCACCGTTCAAAATAAGAATAAATATATTAAAAGAAAACCCTATTAACGAAACTAAAGGAAGTTTGAGCACATGGCATGGCCGACTATCCAGGGCCTTGTGACCAAATTTCCAATGCAAGTACAAAATGTGAAAATGTTTTGCTCCCTATTCCAAGGAACACAAGCTACAAATAGAAAAAAGTTGAAGAGCATGGCCCTCGTGCCCTAAACTTGTTAACCATAATCATAAATTAATCATAAAATTAATCCACCGTTAATCATGACAGACAGCTAGGTTATTAGTGATTCCACGCAGCTATATGTATAACTTTTCACATGTCCTAGGGTTATTTACTATTCAGTCAAGTTCTTGAAGTAATTTTTTTGCCAAACAAGCTTTTCCAAACATAGTTGTAATTCCTAGGTACCTCCGAATCTCAGTCAAAGCTACATGCAGCTAAAATCAAACCCTTCAACTATATTATTCAATCAAGTATATTTGAATGAAAATTAAACTTGTGAAACTATAGTAGTACTACCATGAGTTTAACCTCCAGCCTTCCATTGCCATGAGAAACCGTGCCCAAAGCCAAGTTGGGCTGCTTGGAATCCAATTCTTCTTTCACAGCTTATATCATATTGATATTTGATACAAACAAAAGCCCCGGGACAAGCTCAAACTGTTAGAACATATATATTTATATGGGGACTAGAGTTCCAAACAGTTTAAAATTGACCAGGGCCCTAGGTTTTTGTGTTTGGCAAAACT